GCTATAGAAATAAACTGAATAGAATTACCTACATGAAAAGATGCAAAGGAAAGGTCTCACCATACCATCCATCCCAAAGACACACCTGCTCCTCCGGGACGGACAGTTTGTCATTGCTGAGGATCTTTGAGAGGCAGTTGACAGGGAGCTGCAGGAAGTCGACCAAGGTGCTGGATTCAGTGAAGTACTTCAGGAGAAAGGTTTCTGCTTTAGCCCTCAGTCCCTCACAATAAAATGCATGCGCCAAGGCCCATATACCTGCAGAGAGAACAAAGCTCTGGGGGCATTTCTCGCCGCTGGGGGGGGGGGTTTGGCTGCGTTTGCGTTTCTTACCCATGCAGTTTGTGACGTTAACCTTCTCCATCAGGAACTCCTCACACATGGCTTGGACAGGCTGGATCTGGTACTGACTGGCTACATGCAGCAACGACTGGACGTTTCTCACGTTAATTTTGATTCTAGACAGAAAATAAGAATCAATTCCTTTAAAAAAAAAATAAATCCTGCCTATTGTTTGTTTTTTTACTCTGCCGTGTAAATGTAGTCGATCAGCAGCTCGATGATTTCAGGGTCCACTCCCTTCAGCTCCACCTCAGGAGACACGGACTCCATCATGTTTGCTGAAAGCGACGGCAAACGCAGGTAAACGACAGAAGAATTAACCTGCACCATGTTGCCATGGAAACAGATGCATGAATTCAGGTGTTCGTTATTTCCAGTAGGTGAATTGCAGTGTGGCAACGTGGAAGGATGCTCAGCACCAGCGAGTCCAGTTTACATATTTATTCCCAACTAAACATTCCGGTCAGGTCAGTGATGGAAGAGTTGAAATGATCTGGATACGATTGCAGCTGGAGGATGCTACGGCAACTCGTCTGTGTGAATGCGTTTGGGTTTTCAACGCGTTTGCTTAGGTCACTCAGGGAAAGAGCTTTGAAGAGTTGGAGTGGCTCATCTCTATAGTTACGCTGCTATAGGCTTAGACTGCTGGAGGACATGGGGACCCCTTTTTCATCATTCCATCTCTATTCTCCCTCTCTGCAGAATCTGTTAGTTCAATTCTATTCAGTTTATTTCTATAGCGCCAATTCACAACACATCATCTCAAGGCACTTTCCAGTTCACCAGATCATCCAGGAAAACCAGC